ATTGACAGAGCTTCCTGCCTCCTTTTCAAGGCATCCAACAATCTCACCGCTCCGGTGAGCTCCGTCGGAGAACCCGACCGTTTCTTGATCAGAAGAGTTTTTATCATCGGTGAAGTTGGAAACAATTGGAGAGTTTTCGCCTTCGACCCCGACCCCTGTTGCAACTCGTGAACTGGAATACCTTGGAGAACTGGCTCCTTCCCTCGAGCTTGAGCATTGAATTCCTGATCCGAGACGGGATTCTTCTTGGAATTTGGAAGGGGAATGTACGATCCCTTTCCTCCGCCCTTAAGATTGACAGAGCTTCCTGCCTCCTTTTCAAGGCATCCAACAATCTCACCGCTCCGGTGAGCTCCGTTGGAGAACCCGGTCGTTTCTTGATCAGAAGAGTTTTTATCATCGGTGAAGTTGGAAACAATTGGAGAGTTTTCGCCTTCGACCCCGACCCCTGTTGCAACTCGTGAACTGGAATACCTTGGAGAACTGGCTCCTTCCCTCGAGCTTGAGCATTGAATTCCTGATCCGAGACCTTTCGTCTCTGGTAAGTTATCATGGGTAGTAATTGAGGGGATGAAGATTGGCTCTGGTCTTGCATGGCTAGAATTTAGAGAGGCTTATTTATTTAATTGAGAATCTGAATTGAAGTCTAATATAGTAGAAGAATTGATTTTATTCTCTGTGGCTGTCTCACCAAAAGTATTATGAGGAACTAAAATCAACGGCTCAGAGCCTTCATCAAGCTGCATTTCCTCCATGTGTTCATTCGAAGATGACACATTAGTATTAATGCCACCTATTGATTCCAATGGCTTACTTGGAAATTCATCAACCATCATTACTTCTAAATCATTATTATGTTTATTAATTGCATCCAAATTCAAAATTGGATCAATTTCACTATTTTTAACTTCCTCCCTATTTACCTCAGTATAAGAGGTAAAATTAACATTCTTACTTGAAATTAAATTGCTATTATCCTTTATCAAAGCAGGATTTAAAACATCATTATTAACAACTTCTTTTTTTTATAAACAAAATTATTCTTAGAATTAACTAAATCTCTTTTATTGTTGTTATTATCAACAATAATCGATTTATTATTCTTTTGGTTGATACCGTCAACTCTAATCTTAGAATTAGGCTTAGCATTATTTTTTTTTGCTATTACTATCCACAAATTTAGGGGTGGGCCTCCTTTTATTATTAGTAACTAAAGTCCATGGGCCAAACTCCCCATATGGCTCATTTTCAGCTAACACTTGATACTGGTTGACTTAGAATGAGATCCAACTAAATTTATGGGCTTTGATGCCACTGATCTGTTAATTTGAGATCCAACAAGAGTGTTGGGCTTTGATACAGTTGCTTTACCAATAGCAGATCCACCATCAGAAGAAGAAATCAAATTAGAATTTCCTTTCTCCATAGCTTGTTGTCCAACAAAAACTGACTTAATCTCCACCTCAGCTGATTTGTTCAACATGCAGTGAGACTGCACATGTCCCACCTTGCCACATGTAAATCAACATGCAGTGAGACTGCACATGTCCCACCTTGCCACATGTAAAACACAAGTTGGTAATATTCTCATAGGAAATTGTCTGCCATGCGCCACCTATCCAGACTTTAGACACCAAAGGTTTGTTCAGATCTATCTCAATACATACTCTTGCGTATCTCCCTCTGGTGAGTCTATCAGTCGCATAATCCACCCGAATCGGTGTTCCAGCCAGTTTAGCTATCTGAAACAAAGCCGTTTTATCAAAATATTCCACAGGCAACTCTGTAAATCTAATCCAGACTGTCATCTTATCAAATGGATTTTCTGAAGCTCTGAAATTCGGCCGCCACTTTGTCATCATTAAATAATGATCAAACACAAACCAAGGCCCACCAAACAAGGCCCTTTCATAATCATCCTCCATTGTAAACCTAAATAGGAAAACATTATGACCAAGATCAATTGTTTCCAATCCTCCTTTCACTTTCCACATTAGACGAGCTCGATTGAGCATAAAAGCAGGGCGAATAGTATCCCCCAAGCACTTACCCATCAGAGTCAAACCCCATGGCTTTCGCAAACGATCTAGAGTTAATTTATCAAATTTAACAGATAAGCTCGAATCCGGACCCAACTCCTCCTCCTGAGACCATTCAGTTGAAGTAGCTACAATTTTCCTTGCCTCTTCAAACCATTGAGAAGAATTAGCAACAACTTCTCTATAACTAACCACCGATGAAGACTTCTGATTTAAATCAACCATCTCCTGATCTTCTTGATGAGGTGGATCAGGTGGTTGCTTTGAATCCACCATAGCAAATTACAGGGAAAAAAAAAACTTTCACTTCTTTTTCTTGATGTAGCTAGATCAAGCAACATTGCTTTATTTTTCTATAAAAAAATCCCATCCTCTTATATTATGACATGTTATGTGTATGATAAAAACTATTTTTATTTATTATTTTATTTTTCCAAGCTACAATGTTCTATTTCTCATCATTGGAACACTTTGTAGCTTAAAAAAAATTAGCTTGAAATTTTGATGTATCAAGGTAAGCTACAAGGCTTGTAGATTACCATTGGAGATACCCTAAAAAACTAATCCATAATTTTTATTTTTAGCCAAATAAATTTCTCATCAAAAATCGATTTAGTCTGTTTTTCTAGGGCACAAGAATCAAAGAGAGAAATTATATTGGAATTCCTTTGTTCAATAGTATAAAGAAAGTTTGTACTTCATTTATCCATTTTTAGTTTTACAATGGGTCATTTCAATCCAGGTTAGTGGGTAAATGGGGAGATAATGTGCAAGACACACAAATTTGGCACGAACTTTTAGCCCGCTAGCACAACCCATAATAATAATTATAAAAAAACACTATGAATAGTAAAAATAAAAACAATAAAAATAAAAATTATAAAATAATAATAATAATAATAATAATAATAATAATAAAGAGTCATAATAGTATAAAAAACTATAAATAATAAAATTAAAAATATTAAAATTATTTAATTAATAATAGGTTGGCCCGCGGCCCTGCATGACCCCGCCTGGCAGGTACGTGGGCCGTGTCATGGGCGGGGGTATGCCATTTGGTGGCCTGGCACGACACAATCCGCCATTACCTCGCTCGACACTCTTGGCATGGCGAGGCACAACTCGTGCGCGACTCGACACGGCACGATGCCCAACTCCATCTGCCATATCACTATTAAGGAAAGCTTAGGAGATAGAAGAGATAAAAAAAAAAAAAACAAAAAACAAAAAAAACTCGGCCTATTGGTTTTGGGGAGGTCTTCTTGCACAGGCCCAAAACCGACCTTGGCCAAGAGCAGCTTATGTACATCATTAGTCAGAATTTGGTATCAGCCTCACAGGCCAACTTGCAAATCATCTCCCCCCCCCCTTTTTTTTTAAACAAAAAAAAAAAATTACTAAAAATATCCTATATCCTATCATAGCTGTGAAGGTAGTTGTTAGTTGTGCAAGTAGCTTTTAACTGTCAGCAAGCTGTAGTTGTGAAAATAGATGATTGAAGTATGAGTGTTCAGTAAAGTAGCGGTTGACTAACTTTTACATATAAAAATCAATATTTTACATTTAAAATCATAGATTAAATTTTCAACAGCTACCTCTACTTTCAAAAGCTAAGGGTATGTTCGGAAAAATATAGTTGTGTAGGTAGTTGTAGCTGCGGAGATAGCTGTGAGCTGTGTATGTAGCTGTTAGCTGTGAAGATAAATAGGGCGTGTTCGGCAAAATATAGCTATGAAGGTAGCTGTAGCTGTGGAGGTAGTTGTTAGCTGTGTAGGTAGCTGTTAGCTGTCAACAAGCTGTTAGCTGTGAAGATAAATAATTTAGATATGAGTGTTCGGTAAAGTAGTGGTTGACTAGCTGTTACATATAAAAATCAATATTTTATTTTTAAAACTATAGATTAAATTTTCAACAACTACTTGAAAAGCTACCTCTAATTTCAAAAGCTAATATTTCTAACTTTTCACAAAAGCTACCTCCACCACTAAAAGCTACCCTAACCACTACTTTGCGAAACACTCACATTTTTTGTTGAGTAGTGGTTTGACCAAGTCAAACCACTAAAAGCTACCTAAAAGCTACTCAAAAGCTAACGCTGAACACGCCCATAATTTAGAATATGAGGGTTCGGTAAAATAGCGGTTGACTAGCTGTTACATATAAAAATCAACATTTTATTTTTAAAACTATAAATTAAATTTTCAACAGCTACCTCAAAAGCTACCTCTAATTTCAAAAGCTAATCTTTCTAACTTTTCATAAAAGCTATTTCCACCATTAAAAGCTACCCTAACCACTACTTTGCTAAACACTCACATTTTTTGTCAAGTAATGATTTGACTTGGTCAAACCACTAAAAGCTACTAAAAAACTATTGCCGAACACGCCTTAATATTTCTAACTTTTTATAAAAGCTACCTCCACCACTAAAAACTACCATAACCACTACTTTGCCAAACATTCACATCTTTTTTTGTTAAGTAGGGGTTTGACCAAGTTAAACTAATAAAAGCTACCTAAAAGCTACTCGAACGCTAGCGCCGAACACACCCATAGAGTGAAAAGAGGGTTTTGGGGTGATAAATTTCACTTTCCCAAAATACCCCTCTTATTTTAGTTTTTTGTTTTTTTTTAATAAAAAGCTACAATCCTTAAAATAAAATAAAAATAAACTACTGCCTAAAATAAACTACCATTTGAAAAGAAAAAAAAACATTTGAAAAAAACCCAGAGAATCAAGCTTAATAGATACGAATAACTTAGGGCTTGTTTGACATCATTTTTGGTTTTCAGTTTTCTGTTTTTTTGAAAACCAAAAACCAAAAACAGGAAACAAGAAAAAGGTGTTTCCACTTTTCTGTTGTCAGTTTTCAAATTTATTATAATTTTAATATGTTTAAATAATTTTTGATTCATTATGGGACATATATCATATACTTTTAAAAAAAACAAAAAACCAAAAAAAGAAAACCACAACAATGCCAAACGAATCCTTATATTCAAATCATACATGGGCTCCATTTTTTAATGAGCGATATGAGCTCGACATGATACTAGTTTAATTTTATAACCATGTTTGAAGCACAATCCTATAATACGTGGGCCTCCAAAATCTACCCCGTATCAAGCTTTACCTCCCATGAAATATTCCCGACATGCTAAGCTTGGTTTGGTAACATAAGCCATCAACATCCGAAGCATTGAACGCAAGAATCTTAAACCGCGTAAAAATCACACCCATAAACAGAATTAAAATCGTACACTCCATTCCCACGTTAATTCCAAAATCACAGGGCACCAAAATTCCCAAATGAATAAATTCCTGAATACTTTCCATTTCAAGGCCGTAAGCGGTAAATCATCCACCATTACCCCACGTGACGTAATCATTCAACCAATAAAAATAAAAAAAATGCTGCGCTGGATACACTTAATACCTTCCACGTTGACCTACAGTCCAAAACGGTGTGACAACTACCCAATCACGCCGTCCCACGTGGCCAACCCCGTTACTTTCTCATTGATTTGTTTTATTCTTCCCTTTTAATTCACCACATAATTGATTAATTAAAATTAATTTCAGATTTTTTATTTTTTTATTTTTTTATTTTTTTTTTGCATTATTCCAAAATAATCTCCGCCATCGCTCCAAAAATCCAAATTTTGATTCGGTTTTTCGTCGTTTTTTTTTGTCGAAATTATCCCAAATTGTGTTCATAATTGCTTCTAGGTTTCATTACTTTCTCCATTCAATTGTTTGTGAAGTATATGCAAAACGTTTCATTTTTTTTTTTTTTTTTTTTTTTTTTTTTTAATTTTTTATTTTGTTGCAATTTGGTTCGAATTCATCAATTTCGTCGGAATTCAGGTATTTTTCATTGCATTTTTGCAGTTTTCTCTTTTGTTACATGTTTCAGACATCTTAATTTCACTGGAATTTAGTGTAATTCTTAGATTTGATATTGAGTAATGGTTGTTCTTGATTAAGTTATTAATTTAAGATTAGTGAAAAATTGTATAATTGCACTATTATAGCTACAGAGCTATTATTACTTTAAATCAATTTCTGTGTTTTTTCATTTATTTATTATTATTATTATTATTATTTTTTATTTTTTTTTTTTTTTTATTATTATTATTATTATTATTATTATTATTATTATTATTATTATTATTATTATTATTATTATTATTATTATTATTATATTATTGAAGTGATACAGAAAGCTAAATTTCTTTGCCGTAAAGAATTCTGTCCAGAATTTTGCAGTTTTTAGTATTGTGTAATTTTGTCTTTAGTTTCTCATTTTTGTCGGCATGAGAGATTTCTTGAAATTCTGATAGGTGTAAGGCAATATAGATGTTTACATAGTCAGCGTTGCAAATTTTGATGAAGTATGTTGTAGGTGGCGGTTTTAGGGTGTAGATGGTTGGCTGATGGTTTTGTGTTGATGTTTTGATGAATGATATTATAGCAAAACACTTTTTTCGTAGTCATCGCAGTAGATGAATCGACTTAACGGAGCGTTGGTCGAAAGTACTTGTACTATAATATCAGGTTCCATTGTTGAATTGATGATTGGGAAGAAAATAATGAGGTTGCTGGTTCTTGTATTGGCATTTGTCTGTCTGACAAGTCAAGAAATAGTTGAGAATATGTTTCATGGAGAATTAAACCCCTATAAACAGTAGTGCAGCGTCTACAATGGTCAATCTCATGTCTACAGCGGATCTGTCACCATATTTAGTTGAATTAGTGAGAGGATAACTGGATAAGTTTGACAGATTGCAATCTTTGTGCATAGGGGAGCTGTTCAGGAGACCAAGCTGTTCGAGTTCTAATCGATATCTTCTAAATTATTGGCTTGTAGATGGAGGGTTTCCTTTGTGCATTTGGACCAAGACTGACTAGATTAGGTTCCAGCCAAAATGAACTGTACAAAGGAATACTGCCATTCATTTCATTTAGGGAACATAAGAAGTTTATTTGCAAAGATAAGGTTTGAGTGACTGAGTGTTGAGTTACTCACTTACAGTGAGAAAAGTAAAGTTTGAGTTTAAAATAAACGCTCTATACAATTAGACAGGTAATATGAAAAGGAATATTGTATCCCCTTGTCTTCTCCATTCCCGAGCTTGAAATGTTACTGTAGGATCCATGAGTAAGAATAAGATGCAAGACAGACTTCACACTAGTTGTCTCTAGAAAGTCCATTCAGTAAGTGGGGAATGTGCATATCATTATTATTATACGCAATGTTTGATTGATATTCCCTCTGCTTATTAGGTCGGAGGGAGTTATGCTCTAAACAGGCCCTTTTGATTAGTAGAAAATCAATCATAAGAAGAGAAGATACTTTAGATAGTAAAAGCTTCTTATAAAGTCTGATAATTTATTCTGGAAATCTCTACGATCTTCTAATCTCTGCCCTCAATCAGTATAAAAAGAAGCAATCCTGTTCCTGCTGTATCCTTTTTTTAAGTTTTGAAGGAAAATTGTGATGTTTTGAACTCCCCAGCAGCCCAGTTTAAGCCATTGTGCTGTGGGTTTTTGCTTGCCTGTTTTCTCTTCCCCATAAAGCTTCTAATATTCCAACTGCAGATATTCACTAAGTAAAGGATTAGTCTCTTCATGCAATACATGGACCAATGTTTTTTTTTTCTTCAATCTGTGACCTGGGGTTTGATTCTCTTAGACAGGTAGATTATAATAGGTGTCTAACTTGATATAAATACTATAGGAGATTAGGAGGAAATATTTTATAAATTTTTGTAATACTCAATTTCTATATAGTGCTTATACCTCAGTGTTCCTAGTTCCTACTGTTGGTTGATGTGATTTTATTGAAAATAGCTCTAATATGACTTTTGATACATAGAATTTGAATCTGTTCATATACTAGTAACTAGTAATGTACTTTTGGGATAATGTTTCTGCTAATTAGCTCTCCTCTTATTATCTCCTAATGCAATTCTTTTACATTTTTTTTGGCAGCACCTGCATATTGTAATCATTTAAATTCTGCACAGAGCGGTCTTTCACAATGGCTCTATGATATAGAAATTATTCTGATTTTCTCATTACCATGGTAAAATCTTCCTGTTAGTGGTTTAAAATGGAGATATCTGCTCTATTGACCTCGGCCGGGATCAATATAGGCATTTGTTGTGTGCTTTTTTCATTATATTCCATATTGAGAAAACAGCCAAGCAATAGAAATGTATACTTTGGACGTAAATTGGCTCAGATGCGATCAAAGCGTAGTGATCCTCATTGGTTTGAGAGATTTGTGCCTTCTCCTAGTTGGATTGTAAAGGCCTGGGAGACATCTGAAGATGTAATATTGGCTGCTGGGGGATTGGATGCTGTTGTATTTATGAGAATGCTTGTATTCAGGTGACTAATCTTGATTTTCATACTCATTTAAAGTTGTATTATATATTAATTTGTTCAGTATATGCTTCGTCTTTATTTGATCTGCCTATTAATCATAGTTTTTTTGTTTTAACCATATGTATACCAGTATATGCTTCGTCTTTGTATTTCTATTGTACAGTCGGTTGTAATTGTGCATGGTCCAACCAGGCTATTTTTTTGCACAGTATTCTAATGATGGTTAAAGCTGTTAACTGGAGGGAGCATGAAAGACAAATTTGGAAAAAGAAGCTCCAGTTTCGTGTCAAAAAAAAAAAAAAAAAAAAAAGAATTGTAGAATGTGGCCATCTTTATCGACTATTAATAACTTCTTGATTTTTTGGTCCAACTTCGAATTGTGAAGTATGAAAAAATAGAGCAAATATGTAAATATGTGATCCAGTCTATTTTCTTGCCATTTTAGATAGATTACTGCTAATTTCTCAAATGCCATAGGCTCTTTTTGGTATGATTCAGTATAACTTTGGAAACTAGATAAGTAGGGAATTCCAAGGGGAGTTAGTGTTTAATAATCATAGAGTTTCTGTACTATATGAAACTTGTCATCATTTATCGGTCTTGTACTTTTGTTCCCTGTTCATGCTCTCTGTTTTTAGTCTTTTTACCCTTGTGTTTGAATCCTGCCCTTTTCTGATAAATGTTCCTATATATATGACCTATCTCTACAATCTGATGCTGTTTAATTATTTACTGTGCAGTATTAGAATTTTCTCAATTGCAGCTATTGTGTGCACTGCTATTGTGCTTCCCTTAAATTACTATGGTGAAGAAATGCAGCACAAGCTCATCCCTGCTGAGTCATTGGAAGTGTTTACCACTCAGAATGTTAAAGAAGGTTCTAGATGGTATGGTTGCCTCTTCCTATCTAGTGTAGTTGCATCACTTTTTTTTGGAATTTTCTGGGTATGAAAACAAGATTTATGATTTCTTCAATCTAATGTTTATAAAAGATTTATAAAAAAATCTGGATAGTGTGTGTGTGTGTGTTTTTTTCCCCGGTTTATGATACAAGCACATACACGCATATGCATCAAATGGTGTTAGTTTAAGAATTTATGACAATGACCGCATTGATCAATTTTCTTAATGCTTAGTTGGTGCGTTAGTGCGTAATGTTTCTACTTTATACTTCTTATACTTTAGCCTTTGGAATCCATCAATCATTTTCCATATATCTTTTCTGTTGAGGCCCTTGGGGAGTTGGGAGTTTCTTCTTAACTTTACTTTTGGGGTTGAGGTTATTGTTGATTTTGATAATTTGGGATGAGGGGGTGTTGAGATCCTCTCTTACCCACTTTTGCGAGAAGATAATTCATCCTCATATTATTTTTGGTTGTGTAATGGCAAAAAAAGTTTTATTTTTAGGCTGATTTTTCCAACAAAAAAAGATTATAGTAATTATCATATATGCTGCTATTTAGTGTAATTGTTACTGTTGTTTTCTGTTTCAGGCTTTGGGCTCATTGTCTTGCACTGTATATCATTTCGTGCTCTGCGTGCATTCTTCTCTACTTTGTAAGTATAAATTATCTTGAATATTTCAAAATTATAGGCCACTTGCCCTTATTTCTTAATTATATTATATTCTTGTAAAATATTAAAATCACCTATACCTTACAATTCATCCCAGTGTATTTTTCAACTTTAGTTTATACAAATTTGAGGAGTTGTTCAAACTTGCTGTTTTAACGCATCATATGAAGACATTGATGCATCACATAAAGATGTTAATCCTTTACACCTATGTTTGGATAGAGAGAAATGGAAGGAAGAGATGAGAAAGGGAAGGATGCATCATCCTTTGTTTAAATGCCTAATGCAAGGAGGGAAGGGCAGGGAATGGGAAGGGTCCATTTTTCTTGCCCTTTTAATAAACTAAATTCCTCCATTGTTGGAGAGATTTGGAAGGAAAATGGGTGTTCACCTTCTCCCTCTCCTCTCCTCCCTTAGTCCCTTTCCCTTCCCGCTTTTTCCTTCCCCTTTACTGTTGTTATCCAAACATAATGTTAGATTGCAAAAAGATGATTACAAATGGCTTTCAACAATAACAATACCAAAGCCCAAAAAATAATGGGGTTAGCTGCATGAATTATGACCTATCTCCTATGGCTATCCACATGGATTTATTTTTTCACACATTATTTATGAATCTATCTAGTGCTCCATGCTTTTGCAAACCCTTTATTAGAAAATTTTGGATTTTAACACCAGCAAAAAAACCCCAAAATGGTTTTTAAAACCCCCATACAAAAAAAAAAAAAAAAAAAAAAAATTAACACTTCGCAAATTTTTGAAAAATGGATGTTACCACCACTTAACGGCCTCCATCCAAAAATTTCGTTAAGTGGGGTCCATAGTGACATGTGTTACCATTTTATTTGTTCTATAAAAATAAAAAAGAAAAAAAATTAATACTCCGTAAATAATAAAAAACCTAAAACTACCCGGCCACCACCGCCCCACCACTGGCACCTTCACCCAACGCTACCAGCTAGCAGACCGGTGGCGCATCCCCTCCCCCTCCCTCCTCCAACCCACTTGAACCCTCCCCATCCTTTTCCGCAGCCCTAATCGGCGCCAAAAACCACCAAACTAAAATCCTCCTTCCCCAAAACGACCACAAATGGCTGAAATTGGTCGGTTTTTGCTGTGAGTGGCCTTAACCGGCCGATTTCGTGGCCGTTTTGAGGAAGGAGGGTTTTGGTTTGGTGGTTTTTGGGGCCGATTAGGTTACAGGAAAGGAAGGGGAAGGGGATGCGCCGCCGGTGTGCCTACCTGCAGCGTTGGATGAAGGTGGCAGTGGTGGTGGTTGGGTAGATTTATTTTTTATTTTTAAAATTTTTTGTTTATTTATTTTCTTTTTTTTGGCCAATAATAAAGCGACACGTGGCTTTATGGCCCCACTTAACGGATTCATGAATGGAATTAGTTAAGTGGTGATAAAATCAAATTTTCGAAAAATGTTATGGTGTTAAAATAATTTTTGTATGGGGGTTTTAAAAACCATTTTGGGGTTTTTTTTTGTTGGTGTTAAAATATAAAATTTCCACGGCATTATAAAGCTTTTTAATTCCCACTACTCATTGTTTTTGGTTTTCTTTTGAAATCTTTATACACGCAATCCTCCGTCTTCTACACCAGTGCATCCTGATTGCTATTTTACATTCTCATACCAATATAGATTTTTCTCTTATCTACACCCATCCTAACATAAAACGCCTCTGCTACACTCATCTTCTTACTATGCTCCTTAGGGCCTGTTCTGACTGAGCTGAAACTGAAACTGAATATTTTATGAGAGAAGGGAATTAGGAACTGAAGAGAACAAGCCCTTAGATGCCTAACATTTTAACTTTTATAATAATCTTATTGCTTTGCAGTCTTAGGTAAATTTTATTTTAACATTAAAGGCATGCTACGATAGCTCAATAACCCCATCATTGTTCTCTATTCGGGCCACCTAGTCTACGTGTTACATCTTGATCAGTATCTCCACTTCTGTGTGAAATTGATTCAAAGCTTTTAAAACATTCAATAATGGGTAACTTTTTTGTCGTCAAATGTCATAACACACTTTTAATTGGTTATACTTCAACTTAGCGCAATTTTGATTTTTTTTTTTTCAATTTTATTTAATTTCTAGCTTTTGTCTAAGTACTTAAAGCATATCTTTGTTTTAATTAATTTGTAATAAGGTAATCCTCTGTCACTCCTCCACAAGATATTTGTTTTACTTGTATACACACACCCTTAACCAGGTCAATATAAAGTTAGAAAAACTTAGTAGAGAATTCTTTTAGTAAGATATATTAATTATTGGGCTATAGTTTGGATTTTACAATATACCAAAAGTGGCCTACTATTATGATTTAGAGGTTGTACCAAAAATTCATTGGCTTACTCTCTAAATCTGAAAGTTCATTTGTGTATGAACAATTTTGAAAGGGTTTTTCTCACTAGTATCTGCTGTAATTTCCTTCAGGAGAATAAAAGTATTATTAAGAGGCGCCTTGCATACATTAAGGGATCTTCTCAAGATTTAAGTCAATTTGCTGTACTTGTTCGCGGGATACCTTGGTCTGCAGAAGAGTCATATAGTACTTCATTGAAGAATTACTTTACGAAGCATTATCCATCTTCTTATCTTTCACACCAGATGGTATATCATTGTGGAAAAATTGAGAAGCTGATGGTATGTTGACTTATAAAAATCCTTTAGAACTCTCTACAAGTTTTAAATGTGTGATCGTGATGCTTGCATGCCGTTGTGAGCCTTTAATGTACATATTAAAGGTTTTTCTTGCAAGTGATTTCTATACAACCCTTACTCCTTTATCTTAGTAGCTATCTCTTTTCCTTTTGTCTTAATTATCATATTATATTCGAGGATGACTGTGCAAGCTATTTTCCTTCTTTAGACTTCATTGATTGCACAGCACACTTATAAGGACAGAGTAGGAAAATTGGTAATGGTGCGGGGGTTGGTCACTTTGACCTTAATTGCAGAACTTATTATGACTGTCAAATTTTAATTTTCCTTTATCTGACCTATTTTTTCCATCCTTGATGTGTTTGATATAGTTATTTTAACAGATCCTGTGGAGAAAAAGCGCAATCATAAAATAGATAAATTACCCACTCTGTAGCGTATTCTGAATTTGTTGTCCTTATCAGCTGATTGTTCTATCATACAATGTGAACTTGGTTTCTTTTCGGCAGAATTATGAAGTCTTTATGGGTTCAGATATGTTATGGTGCAACTTTTGAAGCCTTTCATTTTGTTAAAGTGTTTATGTTAGTTTGCTTTATTATATTTATCTTTATCATTTGCTGGCTGTCCATGCAGTTTCCTACCAAAATGTAACCTATTTATGACTGGTATTTAACGTTTTTGATGCAGAAAAATGTCAGGGAGATGTACGATGTTCTCTATCATGATAGCATTCCTTCCTGTCACTCATGCGGTCTTTCAGGTGGAGGGCGTCCAAATGTATTCAACATTCTTGTTAATGAACCAGAAATTATTGAAAAAGGGAGGCTTGATTTGCAAGACTTGCGTGATAGAGGAAAGGTTAGAAATGATAAAGTTACCTGTTATGCTACTTAAGTACAGCTGTGAATGTGTCTGATTTCTACTTTCATCCTGCTCACTATCTATTTAGCAATAATTATCACTGAATCAGTTTTTCTTAATTATAATCTTGGTTTTATGCTTATTGATGCCTAACTTTATATTGGTAGAAGATGACTTGTTCTCCCTCTTGAGATTGGTGGTGGGGGTGGGAGGTGTTTTTCTTGACCTGTAGCAGCGTACTCTGATTTGATGAAAAGCAAGGCTTTATGCTCTTTATTTTTTATTTAACTCTAAGATAACTGATTAAAATTTGGTATATGTATCGTCAGTTAAATGAACAACTGATTTAGGGCGTGATAAATGTCCTCGGGGGCTGGGTCCAGTGGTACACCATGTTCACTTCATCACATGTCGACTTGAGATATGGTCAAATTAGTTTGACATTACCTGTATACTAGGTAGGATAGGATCCAAATTTCTATCAGCTGTTGATATGGTGGGTTATAGGGTATAACCTCAATCCTGCCCCATCAGGCTAGGCCAAGGTTATAGGGTATAACCTCAATCCTGCCCCATCAGGCTAGGCCAATTGGTCTCTTTCCTTGTATAACAAGTCTCTTCTGCCTCCAATTTCTCCATCACTATATTGTACATAATCCTTCTGATGGAGCAAAGTAAACGTCGTAATATCACAACACTAAGTATTATTCTTGGTAAAAAAAATTATGGTGATATTAGATGGGTATAAGGTCATTTTTTTTCAAAACTAATGAATTATGTATATTGTTTGATATTGTATCAGGTAATTGTAACAGCTGTCATTATTTTCAATTTATCACCATAGCTAGAAGGTTGCTTTACCCTCATAGTCAGGACAATTGATTGTAAAGTTATACTCTTATTTAGATGGGAAATTCTAGCTCTTGTTTGTTTCATAATTCCTCAATGAGTATGGACTTAGATTCAGCCATTTTCCTTGCCAAATTAATGACCATATCACTAGAAAATAAACAAAAATCCACTTGGAGTTGGGGATTTTTTAATAAAGATTTTGAGCTTTAGTTATAATGAAAATGCAAAAACGAATGTCACTGTCTGGTTGTAAGAAGCTTTATGTGAAGCCTACTCATTCCAATGCAGGATGAATACATAATCTATGCTTGTCCAACTTTCATAAAACTAATGTTTTTATAGATGAAGGAAGAACTCAGTTTTCTTATAGGTCTTATAAAAGTTTATGCTGTAATAGGATTCTTTTGACCCCCAAACTTTTTGAATTCTGTAGCTATCTTTAAAAGTAATTAATTAGCTTTTGATTCCACCCACCCCCCCCCCCCCCCGGAATTTTGTATACTTTGTCTAGTGGCCTGCTAAGCGTACCAAGATTAGCAAGTAGCAACCTTCTTCAGATTGTAATGTTTTTATCATTTAGGATTCCTCTTTTTTTTTTATTTGTGACGTCAGCTTAATAGCTGTGTAATTGTGGGTTTGGGGAAGAGAATAGTTTAATTTTATTGGAGTTTTAGAATTAACATTCTGGTGATATTATGGACTGGACTAGTGAAAGAAAAGTCAGCAGCCACTGCAGCTAGTCAATGAAGGGCTGTGTTTATTAGTTGATATCTGATGCTAGTGTTAAATGTTAAAAGGTTTATTAAAATTCCCTTGCTTGAATTCCAGCCAATGCTGGACTATGAAGAGCTATTTTCACTGGGAATTTTGTCCAAGGTAACCCTGTGGTGTTTTATATGCTTCCTTTTATTTTTAATAATTATTAGTCGCAGAATTTCCATCTAATGATATTATCTGCTGTTTGTCAGTCTTACCACCCCCTCGCATCCACCCAAATAAAAAATAGCATTTTATTTTGTTATTAGGAAATTCTGGGTGAAGAACATCATTGATTATTTTAGATGCAGTTCTTGGATTAAGTATATTTGTTGAATTTTTTTCATTTTTAGATAATCATGTGGTACTTTTTGAAGTAGTTATTACTTTTTTTTTTACAGTTTAGCTGCTTCTTTTGTTCCAGGAGTGTCCATCTGCTTTTGTGTTCTTTAAAACCCGCTATGCAGCTGCTTGTGCTGCACAGGCTCATCAGTCATCAAATCCTATGTTGTGGGTCACGAATCTGGCCCCAGAGCCACGTGATGTGTATTGGCCAAACCTAGCTATTCCATATAGGCAATTCTGGTTGCGAAGGACAGCAACACTTCTGGCTACTGCGGCTTTTCTGGTCTTCTTTATTGCTCCAGTTACTCTTGTGCAAAGTTTGGCTAATTTAACACAGCTCCAGCAGGCGTTTCCCTTTTTGAAAGGACTGCTAAAGAAGTAAGTGACATGATGTTATAAAATGATGTTTAATTTTTAAATACAGGTTGAATGTTAAATTGAATAATGTAATTCATTGATGATGAAACAAAACAATAGACGAAGAGATTTAGCATTATTATGTTTTGTTAGGCAATGCTAAATTTTAGGGGCTTACGGTAAATAGGCCCTGTGTATGTGCAAGGCTGCTAATAGTTTGAATAAGGAAAATTCTTTAGTATGCTCGTTGGACAGCAGTGGAAGATTTCTCTTCTCCAGCATCCTGTGTTTGTTTGGAGATGAACTCCGAAAGCTGAATTTTGTCTTCTTATTTTTGAAGGCCAGAAAGGCTTAGCATTTTTCTAAGTGTTAATTCCAGTGATCTTCCTGAAAAATGCTACACAGGACATTCTAGAATATGGCATCGTTCGAAATAATATATGTTTTTGGCTTGTAGCTGTTTGCAGTTGTGGATCTGGGACCCATTTGTCACCCTTTTGTCCAGCAAAAGGGCTGCTGAAGGCTGCATTGCTTGATCAAATAGTTTTTGATGGTGCGTCATTTAGTACTTATTTATTCTTTTTGTTTCCTTCCCTCAGGCCGTATGTAAGCCAGCTGGTTACAGGGTACCTACCCAGTGTCATACTGGTATTGTTTTTTTACACCGTCCCACCATTGATGATACTCTTTTCAACAATTGAGGGGTCAATTTCTCGTAGTGGGAGGAAAAGGGGTGCATGCTGCAAAGTCTTGTTTTTCACCATTTGGAATGTTTTCTTTGTTAACATTGCATCTGGAACTGTGCTCAACAAATTGAACGTCTTTTCCCAACCAAAAGACATACCTACACAACTAGCAGCTGGAGCAGTGCCTGCAGCGGTAAGTATGTGTTGTTTTCGTTTAATAGTTCTTTTTAGTTGTAGATCCCTCCTTGCTATCACTTTTTTTCTTTGTCATAGTATTCTTCTATCTCCTGCATGGGCTTTATCTCATATTGTAGCATATTGCAGTATAGCTAACAAGCTTTACACAGCCTTAAAAATTCTTTTTTTTTTTCAATTTATATACATATTTTTTCTGGGACTTTTAAGTACAGATGCTTGGTCTGAGTTTGTGTCATTGGTTGTGCATTTAAAGAGTAATAGCTGAGACATGGACTCAGGTACTCTTGTCTGACTCGGCCTTTTTATAAAATTTTCATGTTGTTGGCTGAAGATTAAGTGTCAAAATGTTTTACTTCCATACCAGTGTTTCGAGAATGTAGCACGAGTACGAGAGCAAAAGAAGAGTCCAAGTAACATAGATAGAAAGAACCTTTTTGGGTAGGGTGGGGATGGGGGATGGACCTTAGTTTCATTATTCCAACTAGAAATGAGTCAATGATCAAAGGTTAGTTTCTAAAGTTTATCTAGGATAAAAAAAACTGAATAAGGATTTGAGAGTTTCAAATCTGGTATCGATCATGAGGGTTGTTTATGTGAAGGGTTGTCTTCAAAAATAAAAAAATGTGAAGGGTGTGTGTTCTTGTCATCTAGTTGTTCTTCTTTCCTCTGTTTAAATTTTTATTTTACAAGAAAATAATCTTAATTTGAGGCGTATGACATGAGTTTAAGCCTTTAAGGGAAATATGCAAGGCGCAGTGTGAGGATTTGCTAATACAAGTATATGGTTGCTCATTGAGATTTGGAGGTTGCAGGCTCAACTTGTGGTATTATGCTGCACATTTGTTGCTGGACTTCCTGAACTTGCTTTGGCAAAACCCTCTTGTGCAGGGTTACTTAGAGTTGGCTATCACAGGCATACATTTTATATGTTTTTTTTAAGCCCCTTAGCAACCTGCATGTCTGCTCTGCTTGTGTAACTGATCATTTTTTGATTCGTAGGAAAAAAAGGTTTCATTTAGGTGATGCTGTAGAGCTTTAGTTATCTTTTTTAGGGTGCTAAGTTGGAATTCAGGGTGCTCTTTTGGAAGCGGTAGGTTCGACATTTGGAAATAGGCTGCATATACCTTGCATGACTGGCATTGGTTGGACCCTGCTGCATAGGGTTCTATATTTATAACTCTTATTATTTACTCTGTATCAAATGCTATGAATTGCATATGTTTAGCGTGCAAGTTTTATTAAATGGCTTTTTTTTTTTTTTGAAACAAGTTTTATTAAATGCCTTAATAAGGCCTGTCACTCTGTCAGCATGCATGCTCTACAAATTTTACTGATTTTTTTCTCTTACAATGCTCTAAAGTTTTTTTGAAGATGATGTAGCAAGGGTTTGTCTTACTGATTTTTACTCACTAAAACTATGCAGGTCAAGTTCTTTATGACTTATGTCTTGACATCAGGTTGGACCAGTTTGGCATGTGAAGTTGTGCAACTATGGCCTCTTCTCTGTAACTTCATCTATAAATTCATCCTCAGAAAGAATCATGGCCCATTTGATGGAGAGTACACCTTTCCGTATCATTCTGAAGCACCTAGAGTCCTTTTGTTTGGACTTCTTGGTTTAAATTTTGCAATCTTGGCACCTTTGATGCTGCCATTATTGCTGATTTATTTCTGTCTTGCTTACCTCGTGTACAAAAATCAGGTATGCTTTTTTTTTTCTTTTTTCCCCCTTATTAAATCACATTTGTTTTTCCTTTTTTCAGTAATTAGTTCATGGAGTTTTTCCTCATGATGCAAAATGCTTCCCTATTGTTATTAGTGTAAATCCTTTTTCTTTCATCTGCATTCAGAACCAATTTAAAAGTTTATAGGAAGCAAATGATAAAGATAAACCTCTAGGAAAATTGTTCTCTCACATTTATTATTGTATGCAAGAGATTGGAAGGATGAAAGTATAGAGATAAGGAAGAAGAGAATTCGAGAGAAATGGATAATTGATTGTAACTTGGTGCAATTAAATCATTTAATGATGTTTACACAGCCCAGGTCTTAAGAGTTGCTGGACAGTCCCAATATCCAACCTACAAGCTAAGCTAAATTAAAAACGCTCCACATTTTTTTTTGATTCATTTGCTCCCTCATCGACCTCCTCCTTGTATAGATATTCATTCTGCTTTATTCTCTCCCTCTCTACTCTGTTAATTTGAATAAATTAACTCATCTACATATCACATGGGATCTTGATGTATACGTTTTGATCTGTATTATCAAACTATCAATTCTATAAATTGTTATTAATATATAATCAATGATAATAATAGCCAAAGATTTTCATTAAAGACCACGTAAAAGGCCAATGAGTAGGAGGGAAAATAGAGGGTGTACCTCTCAGCTTATTTCCCAAGCTACCACATAAACCCTTATTATCCTTCCCCTTTGGACTAGTTCATTACATATCATGTTATTTCTTTGGAAAAATTGACAAAAGTAATCCCAAATTTGCCTCATTCGCCCAAAATAATCCCAACTTTGGATTATGTTTTAATAATCCGAATTTTGATATGAATTTGCTTTTAATGGTCCCAAGTGACCGGTAACTTTTGAAAAAGTTTTTTTTTTTAGTGTAATGTACACATGTCACCATGTAATTGGTCAAAATACGTTGTAATTTATTATTTTAAAAAAAAAAAAATTGTTAGTAATTTTTTTAAGGATCAAATTATTAATAATAATTAACAGTTAACTAATTATTTTAACAATAATTAAAAGCTAACTATTTTAAAATTGAATGCAAGAAAAACCACCAGCCACCACCGTACTCTCCTTGCCCTCCACCCTCGCCGCGCCTGCCCCCACCGCAGTGACGCCTAAACTACCCAAATCCCACGCAACCTTTTCGCCGATCGCTCTCTTCCCGCAGCAACCCCCTTACTGCAACCCTAACCCTTCCCTTCCTCTGCAACCCCTTTTTGCGGTTAATTACCCCCACTCACAACCCCCACCTATAACCACAAAACTAGAACAATTCAGAAAAGCGGTGGGGTTTGGGTGGGATTCAGCTGAATAGACGTGGGAATTGCGTGCCTGGCCGGGTGAGGGGTCGAATTTAGGGCTGTCACGGCAAGGATAAGGGTTGCGGGTGGGTTCTTTGGTTGGGGAAGTGGATTCGAGGTAGGGGAGGAGCTGTCGGGATGGAGGGAAGAGAAGGGAGGTGGTCTCACCGCCACAGGGAGGAACTCCCGGCATGGGATGGAGGCCGGAGTGGCGGGGAGTGTGGTTGGGCTGGTGCCTGGTGGGGTGGTGTTTGAGTTAATTAAATAATTATTTTTTATTTTTATTTAAAATTCTTTAATTTTTTTTTAAAAATTTTGACCAATCATATGTTGACACATGTCAGACCAGTTGGGACTATTGGAGGCAATTTCATATCAAAGTTCGGATATAATCCAAAGTTGGAATTATTTTGAGCGAATGAGGCAAAGTTGGGATTATATTTGTCAATTTTACCTACTACCTCCATTTCATAAAATCTGCAACAAACTAGCTTCCACAATTCCCAAGACAAAATTTCTTAAACAAAGATTAGAAAATAGAGGGGCATATGATTAATTGGATGAGAGAGAAAAAGAACTCCACCAGTTCACCACCGCCAACACCCACATACTCCACCAGCAACACCAATCAGCCGCACAACCACTACACAAGCACCCACACCACCCTAACCACCATATGCTCACCCTGTCACCACCATAGGCTTTGAATCATGCTTAAAATCCACCTCACCCACCTTGTAACCACAACCACCCACCTTGCCACAACCCCACGTCACCAACCACCACCAAACGAACCGCAACGCCGTCACCAGCCTGCACCAACGAACCGAAAACCCACGTCACCAGTCACCAACCAACACCAACGAACCAAAACCCCAACTCACCACCACCAACAAATTGAAACCCCACGTCACCACCACTTAGATCTGAAACCCACCTTACCACCACAAAGATTGAAAACTCACAACCACGAAGACCTCACCCTTATTGGTTACAAAAATTTGTCTAACCCTATCCAAATTAATTGTGAATTGAAAACTTTGAAAAGGAAAAAGGGAGAAGAGAACGGGTGGCGAATCCTGAGAACTAGCGGCTATGAAGAGAACGAACGGCGTGGTGAGAGAAGAGGGAGAAGAGAGAGAAAAGTATTGCTGGTGGTTGAGAGGGAGGAGAGAGAAAAGTTAGGTGATGTTGGTGGTGGAGGTGGTTGTCAGGGAGGAGAGAGAAAGTGGGTTGGGGTTTTAATTGGGGATAAATTAATTTGGATTAATAAGTTAATATGTGGTTTATTGAAGTTAAGTAAAATTAAGTAAGGGTATGATGTTAATTTATCAAAAAAAAATTTACTAAAAGAGGAAATTTTTAGTTTGTTGCAGATAATGTGTAGCTTTTGTTTTTGGAAAATGTTGCAGATTTTATGAAACGGAGGTAGTATTTTTTTTTTTTTTCTACTAGTTTCTTTTGGGTTGGAATATGTGTTTTGTCTTATGATTTGGCATTTGAATATGATCATATATGCATCATAACAACTTGCTTTAATTTGAACTGATGCATTCTTTTGCACATTAATTTTTTTCTTCAGATTCTCAATGTTTATATCACGGATTATGACAGTGGTGGTAAATATTGGCCGATTGTCCAGACCTCAACAATATTTTCTTTGGTGATGGCACAAATCATAGCTATGGGAGTCTTTGCGTTGAAGAAGTCGCCAGTATGCTTAGGATTCACTATTCCATTGGCTATATGTACACTGTTATTCAATGAATATTGTAGGCGGAGATTTCTCCCCGTCTTCAAAAACATTGCTTCTGAGGTAACATATTTGATGTTTGTGGTGCTTATCTGTAAGCCTTTATTGTAATCACAAGGTGTAAACAAGAAAATATGAATTTGATGGATTGCATAATCGCAGGTTCTTATTGATTTGGATCAGCAAGATGAGGAAAATGGGAGGATGGAGGCTATATATCAACGGCTTCAATCTGCCTATTGTCAATTGGAATGGCTTGCATATGGTAGCTCCAGACCAAAAACAAAGTACTTGTGTAACGATGAAGACATTAGGCACACTCAAGAACTTAAGTCAGGTCTGTCCTGTTATTCCTTTTTTTTGGCATTGAGAATTTTATTCATTTATTGTATTTGTATCGATTCTTTAGCAACTAATGCGTGAATCTGACATGTTCTGTCATTGCAGAAATTGAATTTAGTCAAGAAATTACATCAGATGAATCTGTAGATAGACCAAGGCCTGCAAATCACAAGACAGACGTCGAATCCAGTCCAATTAGATAGTACATCATTAGGCTATATGATTGTTTTTTTTATTCTTCTTCCATTTTTGATATCCTGGAAGTGTACAGTGGTATAGACGTATAGTGGTCATATCTGGTTGAATCAACGCTTGTAAGAGCAAGTTGATTCACAATATAATTGTATAGGCTTGTATAGGATTTGAGGCAATACTTTTGTTCTCTGCTTCTTTTGTTCAATTATACAAACAAGACTCTGCATTCCTCCAGACCTCCACATTACCAGGTTGCAATTTTCTTTTCTGGTTTATTTATGGAGCTTATACGTTATATACAAAGAAAAAAATGGAAACAGAAAAAGAGTTTACAGATTATAATGGTATATAGTAAAATTTACTTTTGGAATTTGGTGGCTCTTCGGCTTTTGTTTTTTATGCTGTGCCAGTGTTGTATTTTTTCAAATTTTTTAGTGTGATTTGCTGCTTATTGTCTTTTATTATATGTCATCAACGTCAGCATGGACATTGCTTCATTAGGCCCCGTTCTTTAGAGCTGCTCTGCTGAGTCCTGCTCTGCTCTGCTCAAAAGAAATCTGCTCGGCTTTGCTCTGCTCAGCTTAATTTTCAAATAATAATTAATAATAACAATAATAATTAATATTCAATAATAATAATTAATATTGTATTGATAATAATAGTTTATTATTTTGAATAATTATAATAATTATTAATATTAAAAATAATTTTAATAATTAATAATAACAATAATAATAATAATAATAATAATAATAATAATTTTAATAATAATAATACTAATAATAATAATAATAATTAATAATAATAATAATAATTAATAATTTTAATAATAATAATAATAATTTTAATAATTAATAATAATGATAATAATAATTTTAATAATTAATAATAATAATAATAATAATAATAATAATAATAATAATCTGCTCTGCTCGGCTATCCTGAAATCTGTCTGCTCTGCTGAAATTTAATCTGATCTGTTCTGCTAACCCTTGCTCTGCTCTGCTTTGCCCAGAAGCTCAAAAGAACAGGACCTTAGTACTGCGCAACATGTATGCTATTTATACTTCCAAAAAAAAAAAAGAGTGGAGTTATGCCTGAAAATTCAGGAAGTATAAAGGAGGATCCGAAATTTTCAGGGGATCTACCCATCCGCCTTAAATTTCCGGATGCTCGGTGGTAGATCGAATGTGGTTGGGTCGGAGTTTTTTATTTTATTTTATTTTATATTATATATTCAGAATTGAAATGAACCTAAGAAATCCTTACAAAGTACAATTCTATGCTATCAATCTTAAAGATGGTTGAAAGAGTATACACAGTGGAAAATCAAAATGAGGCAACTAAGGGTCTGTTTTCTTCAGCTTAATTTCAGTTCAGTTTAGCTCTAATCAGTTCAGTTCAGATTATAATTTCATTCTCTCACAAATAATTTATTTTTAACTTCAGTCAGTTAAGTTCAGTTCAATAAATCAAAACAAGCCCTAAATAGTTTCGGGGAAGGTAATAGTTCGTATGTTGAATGTATTTTTTTTTTGACAAAGGATACAAACAACTACATATTAATATTAAAACAAATAGAGTGAATTGCCGCTTCTCCGGCAATTTGGTGAGCTCTGTGGACGCGCTGGCGATCCGCCTTATGAATACCACAAACCTGGAAGCGAGAGGCAAGTTGCAAAATTCTCCGAATAAGCCATTTATAAGCGATGCTACCCTGACCCTCTCCACGAAGCAAGGAGACCAGATTATGTGAATCAGTAAAAACCGTAAGAGACAGAATCCCGGAATGTAAAGCCCATTGAAGCCCATACAAGCAAGCTAAAGCCTCTGCATGTAAAGGAGAGGAGCAAACCCCGTACTTGCTACCTCCAGTAATCCGATCATCCAACGGATCCTCATTATCCATGCACCAACCCATTCCAGCTTGTAGAGAATCTTTAAACCAGAAGCCATCAATCTGAAGTGAGAGTAAACTCCTGTCATGGGGGTGCAGGCCAAGCTGAGCCCTGTAAAACCCAGGCGGAGAAGAAGAACCACCATTAGCCTCCACAATAACAGGAATGCTATTAGAGTTGACAAAGACAGAATGATTCTCCATGACCTTCGCAAACGTCGAATCAAAAGGCCTAGACGACGATGAATCCCTAAAGACTCTAGAATTACGGCATAACCACAAGGTCCAAAGCGTACCGATGAAAGTACCTAAGCGAGCACTTGAAAGTCCATCCCGACTGATAAAAAGTCGGATATATTCTTGGATCCAATCTGAGAGAGAAAGGTCTCCATTAAATTCTGAGCGAATGCTGAGGCATCCACCCCTCCAAATCGAACGCGCGCTGGCGCACATCCTGAAAAGGTGTTGTAAATCCTCTGGTTCCGTACTACAGAGGTCACAGAAAACATCTTGAATCGGAACTCCTCTGTGATTGAGTTCAACCTTGACCGCTAGAGCACGATGTAACAACTTCCATAAGAACAACTTCCATTTCGATTGCAACTGAAGAGACCAAAGAACCTTCCAAAAGGAGTCAGTAGCGGAAGGTGTAGAAGAAGGAGAAAGTTGTTGTTGAAGCATTGCGTAGCCAGTCTTAATCGAGTACTTTCTAGCAGGGGTACCCGTCCAGTAACAGAAATCATCTTGAGTAGTATCAGGAAGTTCCATAGCTAGGATAGCAGAGGCATCCGCAGGAACAAACGAATCCACAATTTTAGTATCATCCCACCCCATCGTTTGCTGGTTGATAAAAAAACTGATAGTATGTGGGGTGCCATTTGGCAGAGGAATTCCAGGTTTGAACTCTGGAATGCCCCCATTGACCCACTTAGCAGAACCAGCTAAAGTAGACTGACCGTTTCCAATTTTCCAACTACAACCCTGTTTCAAAAGAGTGTCCGCCTTAAGTAACCCCCGAAGGCCATAAGACTACCGACCAGAGTACCGAGGCCGAGTACTATCATTGTTGGACAGAAAGGTTGTGCGAGCACTGAAAACTCTTGAGACTAGAAGCTGCGGGTTGGTAACGATTCTCCAAACATGTTTCATTAGATACGCCTTATTTAAGGAAGACAAGCAGCGAATACCCAAGCCCCCTAATCCGCGAGGAAGATGCATGGTATCCTTGTTTACCCAGTGCAGGCCTTTGTTGTCCGAATGTGCCCAAAAGAAGCGCATGAGCAATGAATCAATTTTCCCGGTAACAGAAAGTGGCAGCTCATAGCAAGCAAGCACGTGGGATGCCATCGCAACAAGGATTGAGTTAATGAAAATTAACTTCTGCGGTTGAGACAACCGAGTAACGTTTAAACAATGGATTCTTCCAATAATTTTATCAATGATGAATTGGAAGTGATCCTTCTTTTTTCCAATGAAGTCGATAGGAGCCCCCAGATGATGATCGAACCCCTGAACATGCTTCATTCGAAAAATTGATTTGAACCTGTCCTGAAAAGGCACCCCGATATTCGGACTGAACTTTATCAATGATTTTGAGAGGCTCAGCTCTTCTCCAGAAATCTTAGTAAACCTTTGAATTATCTGCACAATATTGTTACAGGAAACAGTCGAAGCCCGGAAAAAAATAAGAGCATCATCCGCAAAGAAAAGATGGGATATAGTAGGGCTTGCTCTCGAAAGCTTAATTCCCTGAAAAAGCTTCAATTCCTGGCCCAGGTGTAGCATTCGCGAGAGAATATCCATGTAGAACAGGAAGAGATACGGTGAGATAGGATCACCTTGACGAAGACCACATTGAGGTTTAAAGGTTTCCGAGGTGGTGCCAATAACCAAAGATTTATAAGTAACTGTGGCGAGACACTGTTGGATCATCTGTAACCAACGGGCCGGAAATCCGTAGGCTTGTAACACCTGCAAAAGAAAACTCCAGTGAATTCTGTATATAGAAACAAATTTATCATACAATAAGGGTTTGTTCTCATACGTTTAAGTTCAGTTCAATTCAGCTCCTAATTTCCTTCTCTTATTAAATATTCATTTCAATTCAAAGCATATACAACAAATCAACCATCTAACATCAAAATACAAACGACACGACCCGTCAAATGACTTGACGTGACGATCTTCCGTGCATGGCGTCGTGATCATCCGTCTTCGTCGTCAATCTTAACTATGATCGTCAGTCGTCAACAAATAATCCTCATTTATTCACCGATTTCTCATTTTTTTTTTTTTAAAAAAAAAAACAAAAACTCAGTAATTATTAATTTCACCTATAAATACCCAAAACCCTTCACCACTTCTCCCTCCTCAACCCCATTTGAGAGTAGAGAGAAAATTCAAAAAAAAAAAAAAAACCCTCCATTCCCCAACAATGGCGGTTACCATCCATGAAAACCCACCACCTTCCCACAAAGTCCGGCACTACACCATCAGCATCTCTTCCACCCACACCATCTTCACCACCGTCACCTCCCACCCCGGCGCCGCACGCGAGTGGATACACCGCACACTCCACCAACACCGCCGTAACCGCCACCGTCTGATCATCGGCCTTGGCGTCCAATGGACTCCAAACACAATCTGTCTGATGAACAGCCCCGCCTCCACCATCCAGCTCTGCATCGGGTCTCGCTGCCTCATCTTCCAGCTCCACCACTCTCTCTCCTCCCCACGCATCCTTCGCCGCATTCTCTTCGACACTCGTAACACCTTCGTTGGGTTATGGAATCACTCTGATGCTTCGAAGCTTCTGGAGTGTGATCATAAGCTTGAGATGGTGAAGGGTATGCCGATTGATCTCAGGAATCATGTGTTTGACCGCCATGGGAGGTCGCTTCAAGGTGGTTCGATTGTTGACATTGCTGCTCAAGTTCTGAAAATTGAGATTGAATGGGATCATCAAACTTCAATGACTGATTGGGAGCTTCATCAGCTTAGTCGCTCTCAAGTTCGTCAAGCTACTGTTGATGCTTTTGTTGCTTTCGCCATTGGTATGGATGTTCAAGCTTGGAAACTTAACAATTATATCTGACTTTAAATGTCATTATTCCACTTCTTTTTTTTTTTTTTTTTTTTTTAAATTTATTTAAGTGGTAATTAATTAATGTGTCGGATGGTTTTATGTTACCCAAACTTTTAGCCTTTTAGGGTTTGTTTGGATGATGAGGGTTTTTGATCTTGGTGATTTTGTTTTACCATTTTGATATAATTTTTGGTTTAGGTGAAAACTGCCATTTTGATGGAATTGTGTGTAGCTCCAAAATCTGACATGTTAATTTGTGAATTGCGAATTTAACCTTTATCCGTTGTTTTTTTTTAATAACTTATTTATTGTACCTTAGATATTACATGTGGAATTTTATTAGATTTTTGTTTTTTTTTAATATAAATATAGAAGTAATGTTTCAAAAACCAAAATGTAGGAACAAGTGAAATAATTTTTTATTTTTTAAAAATGTGATTATTACTTTGTATTAGGATAATCTTGTGGGATAGTGTTGAATACATTAAAATTTAATGTACTCCGTATACCTTTAACAAGAATTAATTTGTAAGATTTAATACTATAAACTTTTACAAACACCCCATGATCCCCATCAACCTCTCGTCTGGTTTCCAAATCAGGTGAAACATAGCTTAAGGATTTTTCAAATTGTGCACAGCTAATTTTGGTATAACAACTGGAGAAAGTTATGCATCCTTGACTGTCATTCAACAAATCAAATAGGTGCTCCTGTTATTCACTTCTGGCCAAAATGTTACAACATCTTCTGTGGAAAACATGAGAATTGTCCTAAAGTTCTATGTTGATCTCATCCATTAATGCCCAATATCTCCATCATAAAGTGTTTGAATCAATAAATCCACTTTTTATGTTTATTACTCCACTCATTATGTGCTTACAAGTTACAACATATACAATAATGTGTGTATGAGTAAATGGCATTTTTACCTCATTAGTAACCTAAAAAGTCCATCATTTGAGATTGTTTATAGCTTATAATACTTGTTTTAGGCTCTATTCTAATAAGGGCGTCGGATATCAAAGCTCAAGTTACAACAAAGAGTACATTATGTTCACTTATTAAAGATCATCTTATCGTTTTTGAATTTAATTAAACTTATCTGAAATTACTTTAACTTATTTCAAGTAAGAATGTGGTTAGCCCTTATTAACAATTGCCATAATTTATTTTTCCTTAACTTAGCTTATGCAAACTTATTTTCTACAAGAAATAGAATAGGTTTAAGCAAACATATTGAATTTAGTTAAAATCTAGTAAAAGCTTAGATAAGGTAATAAGGCAAATTAAAATTTGTGGAAATGAAGTAAATAAAATGAATTCTTAGCAAAAATAGTACTAGTATATAACTTATCGTTAATATATGATGTGGGAAAAAAAAAGCCTTATAGAAGTATTTTATACATCTAGGTGTATTGTGCACCTGACTAACCCAAAGTTAGTTTTTGATCTACTGTTTGTGATTAAATGATAAACTATTATCAAAATTAAACAAAATACTAATGGATATATTGTGCAATTAGGTGAGTCTATATCTTTCCCTCGTCAAATAATTGGTGATTTCATCGAAATTCAACATGCTAAAATTTATTGCGATTATCCAAGATAATAATGATGTTATATGTGGAGAATTAATTTTTAAAGCAAACTATGCATAAAAGATAAAATCGGATAAGGATTGATAAGTAGATAAAAAGTACAAAGTAAGATAAATTCAAATGAGTTTTGAGAGCTTATAATTTCTTATCTATTTAACTAATTTTAGTCATAAATTTAACTTAGCTATCCCTCATTTAAAGTTGTAGAATAGATCGATCTAGTTGTAGGGATTTATCAAAAATTATTGTGAGTTATATTCATATGCTTTTCACTTTTAAACTATCTTATGTTAAACTTAGGGCCCGTTTTCATACGTTTATTTTCAGTTCAGCTCAGCTCAACTCTTAATTTTCCATTTCAATTTAGTTCAATCAATGAGAACAAGCCCTTATTTTACACAACTTTAATTAATTTTTTGAAAATAAAATTTAGGAAATCACCCTAATAAAATGAAAGTGAGCAAGTTGTTAGCATACAATTCAAGTATGAGAAAGTGAGAATTGTAATTTTAAAATTAGTAAAAAGTACACAAAATGAAAATAATTTGAGAAACTGATGATTGGTGTTTGATAGATTGTTTTTATTCAATAACATCATTTGTATTTTTTTAAAAATGTAGGAAAATCCGTGCACACTAAAGATTGGTTTGTATAAGGAATATATCAAAATATTGATTTTGACTACATAAATCATACGTAGTATGACAATGAAATAAATAATGCATATTCAAAATGAAATGAATCTAAAATTCTGGTAAATTTTTGAGAATTATTTGGTTACAATAAGTATATAAAACCCTCTAATTACTCAAATTTAGGTAGTTTGCAATAAATTATTCCCCAATTTTGGTCACAAAGTCCTTAATTAGTTAATTGATCAAAATTGACATTTGATTTTGAAATTAAAAGTAATGACCAATTTTTTTGAAACTCCATCCATAAAAAAAAAAAAAAAAAAAAAAAAAAAAAAAAAAAAAAATCAATTTTATCCACTGAAACACTCAAGTAAGGCCCTGTTCTCTTCACCTTAAAAAAACAATATTAAGTAAAAATAATTTCAGTTCAGTAAAATTAATTTCAATTCAGTTTTCTTAAAGAAGAATTATAATAGAAAATCAGTAAAAATAATTTCAGTTCAGTAAAAATAATTTAAGTTCAGTAAAAACAATTTCAGTTCAGTAAAATTAAGTTCAGTTCAGTAAAAATAAGTTCAGCTCAATAAAAATAAGTTCAGTTCAGTAAAATTAAGGTAAATCAAACAGAGCCTAAACCTATTGCACCGCAGCACTTACCCCGCCACAATCAGTCCTACTCAGCAGTCTACACCGCTGATTAGTCAAGTCCAGTCCAATCTTTTCTCCCTTCCCTCTATTTCTCGTTGCGTATTTGACAAGCTTTTATTTTACATTATTTAACCAACCATTTTCACAAAAAAAAAACCGTTTTCTCTCCCTAAAAGTCTAAAACCAAAGCCACAACACAAACAATGAACCCAGATTCCATAACCATCATTCCCGATTGGAACCCCAACCCAAATCGTCGCAAAACTTACACCGTCAAATTCTTCGCCGAAACAATTGACACCGTCGTTACCTCCACCCCCGCCGTCGCACGGCAGTGGGTTCACACTCTCCGGTACAACCACCGCCGTGCACTCTACACTTCCTCCCTCACCATCGGCCTCGGCGTTCAATGGCGTCCCACTTTCTCCCCTGACTCCGACACCGCCGCCACTCTCCAACTCTGCGTCGACTCCGACTGTCTCATCTTCCAACTCCATCACGCCTCCTCCGTCCCGGCCACCCTCAGGAAGCTTCTCGACGATCGTGTCACCTTCGTTGGGGTCCACAATGGAAGAGACTGGAGACTTCTAGAAGAATCTGAGCATAGGTTGGAAGTTGAGTGTTTGGTTGATTTGGCTAAGAAATATGGGTATGGGAATTGGTCTATGGGAGAAATGGCGGCAAGAATGGGTGCTGATGACGTGGTTAAGCCTTATCGGTTGGGAGTGAGTAATTGGGAAGCTTATTGGTTGAGTGATGAACAGGTTCAGTATGCTTGTGTTGACGCTTATCTTTCTTATTGTCTTGCTCGAGCTCTGCAAGATCAAGATGATGATGATGATGCTGTGATGTCTTCTGATGGTAATGATTCTGATTATTATTAGTTACGCTGTCCTTCGTAATTTAAATTACACTATTAACATGATTATTAGTATTAGGGAAGCTATACTAATTTTGTTAAAATAAATACGGATTTCTAGTTTTTGTAATTTTGATCACCTTTTTCGGCTGCTTAATGTTGTTTTCTACACTCATTGCTTTTAGTGCTTTACTACGGAGTAGTTTACTCGTAATATTTGGGTCTCATATTAGTAGAATTTGTGCACATGAAATTAAAAAATACTCGAGTTTAATTCCACGTGAATAGGTATAGTATACGCGGATAACAATTTCAATGGATGTTTAAGTGTTAGGAATTGGAAATACTTATTGATTTACTCCGTATCTGCCATTGTTCATTTTATTGATTTCTCTGTTTTTTTTTGTTTTTTTTTGTCGGATAATATAAAACTCCTTGATTAGAGTTATTACCATTGATCAATATTTATAGGGTTACTATGAGAAACCTAATCATATTAGGTAACTATAAGATATGTATAGATATCAAAGATAATCTTATACAAAATATATCCTAAATCTAGGATGAGAATATTCTATGGATATTCTCTATCACACCCCCGCAGTCAGAGCGGGAAAAAACCGGATGCTCAGACTGGATCTGAATCACGCATCGAATGGTAAGGATAGTATAGGAACCCATGATCAAAAGAGAAGTAGTAGACGAGTGCTGGTGATGACGATGAGAAGCAACAACCACGACCTACGTATAGTAGAGATATGCACTTTTAGGCTGAAGGAGAAGAGTCACGCATATACTTGGGCCAAGTTGCAGATCCAGAGAATAAGTTAAGGGATCAAACCATCATCGGGGAGAAGACACTACACTACTACGTGAAATTACAGTTGAAGAAAAACAAATAAAATTGCGCAAGAAAAGATTAAATCCCATCACTTGAAATTAATCAATTCTCAAAAGAGAAACCAAGTAGCAAGAAGTAATACTCCACAAAGATTCCAAGTGCTACAACAATAAAAGGAGCTAACTTGATAGCAAAAGAGATGTGCAAAAGTTGACCTTATTGTGATATACCACCACCAAAACAAAATCTATGTGATTATGTGTTAAAAAAACCAACGAGGCAATGTAAGAATCATTGTTGGTCATGGGGAGGTGGAAATAGAGTGCGGCACATGGAGTAGGTTGGCAAATGTGGTTACTGCCAGTAGTGGAAGGCGGTAGTGTATGCGATTGCCAACAATGATGGAGGAGGCTTTCGCGATTGCTACTGTTGGTGGGAGGCGCAAGGTTATATAAAGATTCTAAAAAAAAACTTTGAGAAAAGAAAAAAAAATCTATATGTGTGTTTGCGGAAGCATAAAAAACTTTGTATATCCCGCCGGTGGGTTTAATTTTCTAACCCACCGGCAGGGTGAGAATTTTGGTATATAATCCCAAGATCTAACCTAAGCTGTGATACCATGTCAGATACTGTAAACTCCTTGATTAGATTGATTTCCATTGATCAATATTTATAGGGTTACAATGAGAAACCTAATCATATCAGGTAACTATAAGATATGTACAGATATCAAAGATAATCTTATACAAAATATATCCTAAACCTAGGATGAGAATATTCTATAGATATTCTCTATCAGTTTTTTTTTTTTTTTTTAAAGAAGAATTTCTCGTGTATGTTCTTGCTGCAACATATTGCTATCTAAACTAGTGGAGACTTAAAGGTGTTACTATATTATTACACTAAACAATTTCCCAACTATATAATGAGAGTATTAAAACCAAATCTGATGTCATATCTTAGACCCTCTTCAATGGTGAAACTTGAGTGAGTTTTTTTTTAATGAGAGAGGGTATTTTTGGCAAAGGATATCAATAAGTTTCTATCTAAACTTAGCAACTCTAAAAGAAAAGTGCTCATTTAACAAAAAGTGTGGGCCCTTATTGATATTATAATATGTTTTGTAATATATTTAAGTTTTAATTTTATTTTTTTCTAAAAAAAACTTAAAATATGATTTTGTGGGCTATAAATTGAAGGTGACATTAGCATACTTTAGAAAGTCTCACCATTAAGAAATTAGACTTCATATAAGTTGCTAAATTGAGAAGTAAGTTGGGTATCACCATTGGAGAAAAAAAACAACTCATTTTGTATTTCAATACTCAAAGTTAAGTCTCACCATTGGATGGCCTTAAATTGCTACATACTTACCTTTGTTTTTTATTAGTGGACACGGATTTCTTTTCAAGAAGTTTTTTTTAGTTGGCACGTTTTGTTTTTAAGTAAGTTTAATACCTTGTTTTTTTTAAGTGTACCCCACTTGCTTTATCATTCTATCTCACTCTATCTCCTTTCCTTAATATGTGTGTATAAATTGAACATGTCAACTAAATAGAAACGGAGAAAGTATAACGAAATTGTGGTTGGTTATAACTTATAAGTCTAACATTATATAAGTCCAATACTATTTAATGGACCTACAATAAAACTAAGTACACAAAACCTAAAACAAGTCTCGCAAACAACAAAGAGGGAATAATCATCCTGTGATAATCGATCAAGTGCACCATCTTGCTACTGACTCTGCCACCTATGCTAATAAGATTTATGGTGGAATTAAAAAGCCAAGTCTGCTCGCAAAAGTTCACGAATTTGGAAACCCCCTCCAGAGGGAATAATCAAACTAAATTGTGATACATCCTTGAGAGATGAGGGGCGGATAGGCTTGGATGTTGCAGCAAGGGACTCGAGTGACGATGTCATCTTCACAGCTACTCCTCACACCAAAGCCTTTTGGCCCCTAATCGTGGCTGAAGGGAAGGCAGTAGGTCTAGCAGTCAAGCTAGCAAAGCGTTTTGGCCTGACGAACATCATCATTGAATCAGTCACTTTAATTCAGTCACTTGATCCCATGTTAAGCAAAGGCTATGCAAAGGCTCGATCTTCTTCACTGATTTAGACGCCATCTTCAATGATATTTTAGCTTCTTGTAGTCTTTTTAATTCAGTCACTTGATGCCATGTTAAGCGGGACCAGAAATGTTGTTGCCCCTAATTTAATTGGCCTGTCTAATTCCTTTTGGTGTAGAACAAATTTGGGAAAACTATTATCCTTGTGTAGAAATGTTGTTGCTCCTAATTTAATTAGTCTTTATAATTCCTTTTGTTGCACCTATGAATTTTCTTCCTAAAAAAAAAAAGGAAGATCATAAGGAGATATGTATAATACACACATAACAACATCAAAGATTTGGAGTAGGAAGGATTTTTTTTTTTTTTTTTGTCAACACATCATACAAAAATGAATTCATTCATTCACTTTTACAATTAGTAGAATTGATAACCTTGTTTATAGAGTAATACTTCTCCTTTTTTATTTAGTTGACACGTTCAATTTAGGCACACATATTAAGGAGATGAGAGAGACTAAAGAGGGAATAATAAAGCAAGTGGGGTACACTTAAAAAAAGCAAGGTATAAAGCTTACCCAAAAAGAAAATGTGTCAACTAAAAAATCTTTCTAAAAAGGAATACGTGTCAACTAATAAAAAACGGAGGTAAGTATTAGCTAAAATTTTCCATATAAGTGTTAATCATACCCCTTTTTTTAAGTAATAAATATTCCTAGTGCATTAATACAAGCTTATTCAAGTATTCTCCTTAACATCCACATTGGGCACAACAGGTTTTAAGAGTCGGCCAACATGATCCGAGACCACAACAATAACATGTGCCCCGACTTGGGCAGCCCTTTGGTTGTGGCTTACATTCTTGTACAACTATTAATTTTCTGCTCAACATCTTCCCCTTAAATCTCAAAACTTTTCGACACCGAACCTCAAAACATCCCAAAATTCTCAAAAAGCGTGAATTTCAATTTTGGAAGTTTTTGACTTTTTTCGCCCGGAAATAAAAATTGCCGAAATGTTTACCTTGGTCCCTAATTAATACCCTCCAGGAGTCCAATTGGGTGGGTGGAACTAACCAATTTGCCTTAAAATGGCCAATTTACCGGTTTACAACTTGCACTGATTTCATTAACTCAAGCCTACCAAGAACATTTCTGACAACATATAATGATCATTTATGGTTCCAAATAAGACCCTGAGATGTATCCCCAATAATCTCATTTCTTTTCGACACCAGCCCCGAAACCTTCGAAATTTCTCAAAAAACATGGATATTAGCCTTCAATTTTGGAATTTTTTTACTTTTTTTCGCTTGAAAAAAAATTGCGAAAATGTTTACCATGGTCCCAAATAACCTAAGGGAGACCAATTGAGTGGGTGGAACCATCCTATTTACCTTTAAAATGCCAATTTACCGGTTTACAAATTGCACCAATTTATTTTACTCAAGCCTACTACGAACATTTATGATAACATATAATGATCATATATGGTTCCAAACAAAATTATATGACCCCTAGATGTATCCCCTAAAATCTCAAAATTTTTTGACACCCGGCCTCGAAACATCCCAAATTTCTCAAAAAGCGTGGATTTCAATTTTGGAATTTTTTTTTACTTTTTTTCGCCGGAAAATAAAAATTGCCGAAATATTTAACATGGTCCCTAATACCCGTCGAGAGCCCAATTGGGTAGGTGGAACCATCCAATTTGCCTTTACACGACCAATTACCGGTTTACAACTTGCACCAATTTCATGAACTACAACCTACCACGAACTTCTATAACAACAAATAATGATTATACATGGTTCCAAACGGCATTATATGACCTCGAAATATAACCCCAAGAATATCAAGACTTTTCAACACCGAGCCCCGAAACCTCCAAAATTTCTTAAAAAGTGTGGATATTAGCCTTCAATTTTGGAATTTTTTGACTATTTTCTGCCCGGAAATAAAATTGCCGAAATTTTTACCATGATCCCTAACACCCTCTGGGAGTCCAATTGGTTGGATGGAACCATCCAATTTTCCTTTAAACGACCAATTTACCGATTTACAACTTGCACCGATTTCATTAATTTAAGCCTACCACGAACATTTATGACGACATATGATGATCATATATGGTTCCAAATGGCATTATATGACTCCGAGATGTATCCTCAAAAATCTAAAGCCTTTTTCGACACAGGATCCCGAAACCTCCAAAATTTCTCAAAAAGCGTGGATATTAGCCTTCAATTTTGGAATTTTTTGACTTTTTTTTCGCCCGGAAATAAAAATTGTCGAAATGTTTACCATGAACCTAATACCCACAAGGAGTCCAATTGGGTTGGTGGAACCATCCAATTTGCCTTCAAACGGCCAATTTATTGATTTACAACTTGCACCGATGTCATTAATTCAAGCCTACCACGAACATTTATGACATCATATAATGATCATATATGGTTCAAACGGCATTATATGACCCCAAGATGTATCTCCTAAAATCTTAAACCTTTTCGACACCTAGCCCCGAAACCTCCAAATTTTCTCAAAAAGCGTGGATATTAGCCTTCAATTTTGGAATTTTTTTGACTTTTTTACCATTAAAAAATAAAAATTGCCAAAATGTTTACCATGGTCCCTAATACCCTCCAGGAGTCCAATTGGTTGGGTGGAACCATCCACTTTGCCTTTAAACGACCAATTTACCGGATTACAACTTACACCGATTTCATTAACTC